TTTATCAAGTTTCTAGCGTTTTTTCGGAAAGAGAAAACGGATCTGGGCTGAGTGGCTCTTGCAATGTGGGGGTCACGGGCTTTTCTTTTTTACAATTGTTAAACTGTTCCTTACAATTAATGATGTTTGTTTTAAAAATGCTCCTCGTCGCGTCTGGTTTAGTGATTACTGTTTAATTGTCACTCCACATTAACATAGGTAGATTTATGGGGTGGGGCGGGCTGAGGGGACAGCAGCAACCCCTTTTTTTCTAAGATATTTTTAAGAATTCTCAGTAGAATAAAAAGTATCTATATAGCTGGCAAGTGTCCCGATCACCCCTTTCTGAATTTTCTTGATTCACCCATACTTAATTACAAACGCATGATTAGACTGAGTATTTTGTGGTCATAATGATAGCCTTGACATGACCCCACGCCAACGCGAAATGTCACATACCGATAAAATATGATAAAATAAGCGAAGACCAGCGGGGAGCTCTCAAATGATTATCCATTTCCTTAACTTTGTGATTTTTTTAAAATTTATTAGCCATTGCGAAAGAATTTCATATCTACGTAACCTTAATTTTACAAAGCACTGAAGTACACTGAATTACGAATCATCCGCGTACGTACTGCGTTTTACATTTCTATGAGGACTCACTCACCCACGCAAGCCAGAATGACAAACGGCCGTATAAACCAATAGCCAAGCAATTAAGCTGAACTGCTGAATTTTAGCCTGCGAAGCGAGCGAGCAAAAAAGATCCTCCATATCTATTGCAGCTGTCGTTTCAACTTCCGCGATTGGAAACGCTTGCTACGCAGGCGAATTCAAGCTGAACTAATTTTTGCTAATTTGCTTTTAGAATACCCAATACTAACAGTGCTAAGCCACGCCAACGCACAAGAAGTTTGTCTGATGAAGAAGAAACTAAAATTGACCTTGATCTGCTAGATTGCCAAAAGCAATGTAATATGATTTGATTTTATAATAATCCGGCTGGAGTTTAGGAAGTTGGAAGACTAAGATCACGTACTCAACGTTTGTTTAACGTTCAACTTATATAAGAATTAGAAATTCAGTTATTAAAGAGTTATAGTCATTATAGTAAAATATTAATCACAAAATCAACAGTTTAACTTTACAGGTACTTGTATATAGTATATGTGTCGCATAATAAACGAATACAGAATGATAAGTCATTGAAGTGCTAGAAAGCATTCTGCTCTAAAGTTCCTCTACTGTAAATGTCCCGGGGGAAACTCCCTTACATAACCCATATAGGTATGTGCCGCCCCGAAGGAAATATATATTTTTTAGCCGTTTTGGTCTGAAAACGGGTCTACATTTTGCCCATTTTGGTCTGGAATCGGGTATCGTTTTCGATGGAACTACGGGAGTGTATGAACGTATTTGTTATTTCAGTTCCGAAATGAATACTGAGAAAGGAAGAGTAGTATACGAATTCGAAGTGGATAGGGTCACGATTTGGAGAACAAGGCGGCACACACCACAAGGAGCTCACACAATCTGTGTGTGTAACCATAACTTCAAAATTTCCAATCTATACGGTTCAAAGATTTCCCTTTTTTTGTACACAAAGAGTCCACATACGTAGAGAAGTGCACTGGGTATAGACGCCTTTTTGTATTGAAAACACAGTGTTCTTTTCCAATGACTGTAGTTGATAACAATCGCAAAACAACCGTAGACGATTTGCGGATAAGTATATCATAAGCTTTGGAGTCTTTAAGCAACTTAAAGCTAGGGACGGTACGCCTAACTTCATTAATTTTCATCCAGAGCTCGATGGAGACAACAGCCCCCGTAAATTCAGCACTTTGCAACTCTCAGTACTGAATAACAAATTAAAATACGATGGTGATTTAAAAGAAAACATTGCGAAATTCGCATAGATAAAAGCGGTTATTAGTCGGATGAGGTCCTTCGTTTGCAGGGAGCCAGCTAGAAGGTATATGATAAACCAATACCCACCTTTACAAGGACCATTGCAATTTGTACAATTAATATGTTTTATGTCGCTTCAGGCTGTCTGTCGCTTCAGTCTACAAGGAGAAAATTAAAAGAACGTCTTTTAATTCAGCCGAAGTAGTTTCAGTTAGGTTTGTTGGAAAAAATCAAGAGCTGGGATATCATATAAAATTATAATGCAGTGTTAGTGTGTGGTTGGTAGACCGTTACTAAGTGTCTCTTGCAACAGGCGTCCGCCCTCGTGGGAAGACTGAGTGAAGGGTGGGCTGAGTTAAATCAAATTTTGCCGGTCTGTTCATAGGCAGTGATGCAATGACCTAAGCACGATAAGATAAATTAGTTTCAATAGTGTCAGGTAAAAATCGATTATATTTGATACAGGTTTAGGAAATGCAATAAATAAATCGACAAATTTCACCGGCCGGGTTAAATAAGGATAATGCTATTAGCACATTTCATGGCTATAAGAACTTCCAGTGATAGGTTAATTAGTTCGTACAAATGTTTTCCCGGGGCGTTTCACCATCCTGCGTTTGCAAAACAAAACTACAGCTAGTTTGTTAAGGGAAAGAAAGTCGGTTAACTTTTATGTTGTACGAATAAACCTAGCCTGAAAAAATGCCAGAAATTGTATCAATTTTTCAGGCGCCTTTTTTGTGAAAGAAAATTGTAGTGAGTAGTGAGTAATGATTCTGTAGGGTATGCTTCGTCTTATTTTATACAAAAGAATTCAGTGGCCTTCAACTGAGAGAATTAGCAACGTCAAATTATACGCTCCTTTGCAAGGTATATAAATCAATGTTAAATAAACGTTGAGTTACCTAACCTGTGGTGTATTGTCGTCCTTTTGCTTGACTGAAAGCGGTTTTTTGAGCGATTTTGAAGGATTTTGAGTCTGCCGTTTACCGGTTCCTTCTATTATAAGCCGAACCATAGGCGTACGGGCCGGGGGGGCGAGGGGGGCTGCAGCCCCCCCAAATTTTGGGCAACTCAGATTCTTTGGGCAGCGAGAGAAAATTTGGGCAAACCCAGTTTTTTAAGACGTTTCCGTGATTTTAAATCATTATTTTGAAGAGATAAATATTTTCTATTTTAACCTGAAATTGGCGTAATAATCCAGTACTGTTACATTCACACGAGACTGGTTGCCTAGCACGTAATGAGTTTCTGGTTATAAGGGAAGGGTATCATGTGCTGATTTTTTTTTTTATTGTTGGGCACTGTGCTGCAATGGGCTATTTCCAGTGGTGAATTGATTAGAATAAACTTCCGCCTAACTTTCTAGAATCATCTCCGCTCGTAGAACAGTGTATGGCAGATAGCAGCAGCAATGGGTCTGAAAGTGAAGAAGTGGCTGACTAATTCTCAGTTTGAATTACGCGAAGAATCTTGATTTTTTTAAAAAAAATCTATCGAGTGGTTTAAAAATTATTCACTAATTTGTTAAAGTAGACCGAAATGTTTACAAAACCGCTAACAAGAGCGCCATCATACATACTAATCAAATCCTTTTTTGTAGCAATTGGCCAGAGCTATCTCCATGATCTTTCACTCACGTTTTTCAGAAGATTGAAACTACTGTGAGGTGAAATTGCATGTCAAAAGCGCTTCATTTTCTACAGATAACGGACAAACATCAAGATTTTCCTTTTTTTACCGTATTTCTAACGATGAAAACTTTATCCCAAAATATCTCCGCAACGCTGTTACAGAGGAAAATGCTCCCGTGAACGATTTTGGAGCAGTTCCCAGTGAGAAATGTTGCTGCAAGTATAATAGGTAATGGCGTCATTTTGTTACTATGACAACTCCGATGTTATTGCAACCCGGATCATAACAAATTTTCATCTTTATCTAATACAACTGTGGTGGTAATTTTTCCAAATGTTTGTTTATGGTGCCGTAGTCTATGCTCAAAAAAACTTCATGGTATTGACCCTGAAAAACTGTATCGAGCCACCTTCATATGCTAGTACGGCCTATGTTGTTGCATCGTATGGCCCTCGTTTCTGTTCGACTGTTTCGTAAAAATTTGGGCAACTTACAAGAATTTTTTGGGCAAATGGTTTACTGCCCCCCCTAGCAAAAAATTGCCCGTACGCCTATGAGCCGAACAGTAAACGGCAAACTAAAAATCCTTCAAAATAGCTCAAAAAACCGCTTTTGAGGCAAAAGGACGACAATATACCACAGGTTAGGTAATTCAACGTTTATTTAAATGTATCTATGATAATGATAACTACATACATACATACATGGTTTACTTGGTTAGCAGGTCAATAATGGCAGCTTATACAGCTGATGTGGACAAATATGATAAATAAACTAAAATATAAAAATAATAAATAATTAAGATTTTACAAAGAAAGCATTCCGAGTAATTGTAACGATCAATTAATAACACTGAAAGATCAGTCAAGTTCGCGGGTTTTGGTTTTAAATTCCAAATGAGACAAGATCTCGATAGTTACTGATTTTGAACTTCCTTAGGCAACGTTCGGTTAACTGAATTTGCTAGTGATGAGTGCATTTCAGGGCATTCGTTTGTTTTACCTCTTACTCGGCCTATGCTTGAGATCTCTAAGGCAACATTATGTTACCTCATATATACTAAATGTGGGTGAGGGAGTAATTAAGTTTGAGTAACTGATATATGAAGGGTTCAGGGTTTCGTTAATCTTTTGTCTAACGATTGTTACATAGATAATGATCGCCACGTTTCGACCGTGTACTGCGGTTCGTCGCGATCAATATCTATGTGACGGTCGTGAGCCAAACAATCAGAACGAAACCCTTTATACACATTATTCACGATGAATAATATATTTCATGTCGTTAAAACTGATATTTAAGAATATTCTTCATAAATACCATTGAAATGAATTACCAACGGTTTTCTCAATATAAAATCATCAAAGCCATGATCGCGAATTCAGTCAGACTGTGACAACTTAACCCTCCGTTTACACGATAGATGAACATCGGTCCAGAAAAATGATTTCTTATGCCTCACGCTTCGATAGTCATACAAGTGGATAAGCAATACAAGCGGAAAGAGACCTTTGACCACAAATTTTTCTCGACAGTGCTCTCAAAGGGAAGTAGTAAAAGAAGCATCCCTGAAACTTGACCGGTCGGGTAATTCTTGCCGGATTAATGGCATAAAATAAAACTCATTTTTGCCGCTAAGGCGGATACCAAGTGGCTAAGGAAGAGTTAAATACCTTCGCGATCATTACATCACTCAAAAGGATACTTCCGCTAATTTCGGACCTTCAAACTGTATTAACATTCAAACTTTTTATTTGTTTAAACAGCGTTAATTGCAAAAGAATTTCTTAGTATGTTAATCAAGAATTCAAAATTTTACAAGCTTAGGGGCATTGAATTCTTCAAATATGATACAATTGTACTAAAACATCATGGTTAGACTATAAAAATAAAATTGTTGGTGTCGAACTTTTATCTTAATCGAGTAGTCATCCAAAAGAGTTTGAAGTAGAACTGAAAGTCGTGGTTAACAGAAGAAAATGGATTTAAGAGGTTTTTTTGCAGTGAGTATATCAAAAAAGGGCCAATTTATTTAGCCGCATGCTACCTCAGTTCTAAGTTGGGATTTCATAATTCTGGGGTCCGAGTTTTGTGAAATTAGTTTTACGGACGGGGCCTGCAGGCAGTGCTTTATTCAGAGCTTACAACTTAAAAAAAAGCATTTCTCTTTTTATATGCAGTCGAACCTCCGAAAATGCAAAGGTTTAGGGCGGGTCACTTAGGGTTGATATCAACCTTTACGGAAACGGAGGTCGTCGCTTACAATAATCCAATCACTTTTTGTCGTAGAATTTATTGCTTGCAATTTCTAAGGCACTTATGCATGTAATTTTGTTTTGACACTTTTTAAGTTCTCAGAATCGAACCACTTTTTGCCGTAGAATTTATTGCTTGCAATTCAGTAAGTTACGTACGTGTAATTTTGTTTTGACACACCATAAGTTCTTCGTTGAGCGTCGTAGTACTTGGCTTACAGGAGGTTAAATATAATGGGAAACAATAAAAACATCTAACCAAAAAGTGCTCAAAGTCGCTTACGAGAGGTTCTTACTGATTGAGGATTGACTGGGATAAAAAGGTTTTCTAGGCAGGTGGTTGCTTCTTATGGGAGGCAGTCGCTTACGAGATCTTACGAAGGGTAGTCACACATAGAGGTTTGACTGTATTTTGAGTTTGAGGGTAAACTATTTTCTAATTTTGTTCGATTTTTGTTTCAACTTATCTTATCTGCTTTCTTTGTCGCCAGACTGTTTTCCTCTTTTTGTTTACTGTGGAAGTATACACTCGCTCACGGAGTTTTAGTTATATAGATGACGACGGTTCTGGGTGCACTAATAATAAGGACCGTTATATGAGAATTAACATGGCCAAGTGTGAAAATAAAAACTCTCGAAGGGAATGCTCAGCGATGGCGAATGGCGACACGAGAAGCAATCGAAACACACGTAAGTTGGCGGGTTTCTTGATGTGTTCTACTGCTCTCAGTCACTTTCCATCTCAAAATTATTTAATAACGGAAAAAATTTACAAGCAGAAAAATTCATATTTTATTACTAACGGACGATCAATTCTTGCCGAAAAGAGACGGATTCAAGAACAGGCAAGTTGGCGAGTTTCATCAGAAGTGATATCGATTCGACTGCCGTCAGTCACTTTCCATCTCGAAATCGTTTTAAGATGCAAAAAATTTCTACAAGCCGAAAATTTAGCCGTATTTTATTACCAAAGGCAATCGCACGACTGCGGGGACCATGTGGTTTGGCTAATTTCTATATGTTATTGGCGATACAACGTGATTTTCGATACACCCCGCTCCCCACCCGCGGAAAAATCGTTTTCACTCCCCCTAGAAATATTTAATTTTGCAATGTTATTCTTCTTTTTACCTAATTTTGATTAACTGAAAATTTGTCTCCTATTATTCCCTTTTCTCTCTCTGGTTTGATCAGGAATGTGTCACCACTTGACAGAAAAATAAAATGTGCGATTTTCTAAAAGGCATGTTATGTTTCTGCAGATTTTAGGTTGGTGAAAAGGGGAAAAAAGAGTTGCATCACTTTCAACAACACTTATTCACTTATGGTACAAGGAAACAAAGTCAGCTTCGTGGTGAGTGAAAACACTAAAGAAACTCCCTCTGCAGGCTTACAGTTTTGAAACCGAAAAATCCTTTTCGAAAATAGACTGTCCGATTATCTTATACCGCAACAGATTTGATAAGTAGGTTCAATTTTGCCGATGAGTGTCTTTTTAGTTAGTTATCACAACTTCGTCGTCAAAATGTGGCGAGAGCAAAAACGATAGCAAAGCCCTGCCGTAGGAACGTGCGTCAGCTTACTATAAGATCATTAGCATTTTGATTTCTCTCACGATTCACAACTAATCGATGACACCACACATGGCAAAACAAAATGATCTATGAGTCTGTTATTTGAGAAAAGTTAGAACGCGGTTTAAAGTCGTTGGCTCTCAAAAGTTGTTCACAGGTACCTTTAAGGAGAGTTCTCGGCGGGAAAATGTAATGCCCCGAGAATCGCCGGGACTTTTTTCGGAAGTACTACCCTTTGCACTACCGCAATAGATGCAGTGAATTTCTTGCTTTCGGATTGGCTGTAGTGGCATGGGATACTTTGAGGTACTGTGTAAATGGTTATCGGATGAATGCTATTTGTATTTTTAGTTATGCTCCTCTAAATTCTGTAGAGCCTATTCACTCATATGGCCTACGCCTATGCAAAGTTATTGGAACAAAAGGACGTTTTTACATGAAAAGTTTCAACTCCCACGGTAATGGTTAGGAAAACCAACAATGCCGCCTTTCTATTGCTTTTTAATTTGGGACACTAATATGGCGGACGTATCGTCATGTAAAAGTGCTCTATTTAAAACCCAAGAGGCATTCAATCGGATTCGTGGGTAAAAAGTCTTGCTGGAGGAGCATTCCTAAGAATCCCTTTCTGATACTTATGTGTCTATCGTAATTGATAATAATCGTCAGTAGTAATAACTTCATCATTGAATTGTTAAAAATAGAAGATATACCGTCGATCTTTTGCTTTTTCAGAATGTCTCCTGCCACAGTAAAGATAATGTCAATAAAGTAGTTTGGTTTAATTATGAAGTACAAGATATCAAGAGTAAGAAAGCACGTTATCGTGTGTTTTACTACAAACAAGGTGGAAGTTTCATGTGTCTTACTCGCGACTGTACTGGAACCTTGAATGTAACTCGTATTAACTCCCCATTAAACCGAAACTGTTCCTTTTCCACTTATAATAATTTATGATAAGTTAATGTGACAGAAAAAAATGGGTTTTTATTTATTGTATGACATAATTCTTTATCAATTTAAGGTAATTTCCCTATTTTTAAAGTATTTTTTACTTGTAACGTTAAAGTTGTATCGCATTCCATAGAAAGAAATGAACTGGATTTTTAAAGACATGGTGCTACCGTTAATATTTATTACACTAGTCACTTATTCTCCGCCACGGTAATGAATAAGCAAGTGAAAAATGAGAGGATCTTGACCGCTGGCCGTCTGTTTGCAGTTCCATGGAGCCGATATGCATAATTATACCAATGCAGCCAACACGACATGTTAATATCGAACAGTATCGAGTGATTGCCAAAGCTAATAGTCAATTAATCAAAGGGCACGATACTGGGGGGAATTGGGTTAATTTTTGCTGGGTGTGTGCCGCTGGCCTCTCAGAGCCCCTACCCCATTATAGTAGTTCATTCTGTGGCCAATTATACAGACCCCATCTTAGTCACTTTTGGGCAAATATGTAATTTTCGCGATCCCAACTAATTAGTCACTTTCTGTTTTTATGTATTGACCCATGTTTCAGATTGAATAAAGAACGCTTTACTTTTCTCCTACAGTGCAAACATTCCGGTACGTGTGCTAACCGTAAATATGAAAAACTAATGTCATTCCCCTAAAAATCCGAAAATGTGCGACCGCATCCAGCGGCACATCCGATCAGCCTCTTATAAGGAAGTACCCCTGGGTACTGACTGCGTTAAGCAGTACATAACTTCATGGGAAACGCCTGGCGAAGACTCCCAACCTCCTGAGGACGAGGTTGAAAGATTCCATGTGAAAAAGGTGGTGATGCTGGCAGGAAAAAACTAAAATTAAACCCGAAGAAAGCCAGCCCAGTAGAATTTAGGACAACCATGTAACCAGTGTAGCCGTAAATTATATCGCAATAAAGAGAGCAGTTGTTATTAAACTATTTTCTCTCCTCTCTTCTTTTTTGCTTCGACATCCTGTGAAGTGATACTTGAGCAGCAAAACAGAATTTTGGCAGTCCATTCCCTATAAGAAGTACCTAATTCTGGGACTATGTGACGAGGAATATCCGAGCCCTTTCATTCTGGAGCTAATTATTAAGCAACAGTCATCCGTGTCTCAGTTTGTCGGAAATGGCGACTGTGAAGTGAAACTGATGTCCACTGAAGGATGTGCATGAATGATATGCTCATTATAAACGGGGTTTACTTACAGTAAGCTTCGTTGACGAAGATATGATAAACCCGTTAATCATATTATTAAAGAGGCTTCCTGCGACCCAGACATTAGAATTTCAAGGTTTCGAGGGGACTGGTCGCTTACTACTTGTGAGGGCAGCCGGCTATTTGCGAAAGCTTAAAAATATTTTAAACCGACCTCCACATTTCATCCTAGCTTTGTATAAATGACCCCCATTGCTGTGGAAACTACGAAATTCTAGCTACAAATCTTGTCGAAGTTCAACACATACAGTCGAACCTCCATGAGCGACCACCTCTCGTATTAAGCGACCACCTCTCATAACGACCGCCAATCCAAAACACCAAAATGTAAGCGACCGCGACCACCTTTTGGGCCTGAAAGCTTAATGATTTTCTTAACCTCTTGTAAGCGACCACTTGACGCATTCTCTGGTCTTTTTGCTCGCTGTGTGCACTGTGTTGCTTGGAATGTACAAAGAATTTTAGTGACAACATGGAACTACACATGGCGCAATAAATTGTCTTCCATAAGGTAGATATGCCAGGACCTCTTCTCGGATGAGGCCCCCTATGGTTCGATTCTTGTAAGCGACCAGCTCCCGCAAGTTTCCATTAAGTCTTTGCATTTTGGGTGGTCGCTTACAGGAGGTTCGACTGTAGTTTATCTGCAGTAGTGTTTTTAAGATCGGCGTATACCATTCGCGGCTGTTGAATTTAATTTCAATTTTGCTACTGCCTTTGTATTACTTTCATGAAATTTACTAAAATGGCAATCCAGGTAACGCTGCCTTATCTGAAAAGGACCACCCAAAATCAATGAAGATTTTAAAAATATTAATGATCCCATGGACAGAAATCACGGACATTTGAGCCCGCGCTGTGGCATGCGGCTTTCTTCTTAACAACAGAGAATTTAATATGGCGGCCAAAAAGCGTGCTTTCCTCTTAGATTACGCACAGATTCATAATATTTCACGTCGATCCAACAGAAAATCCAAAAGAAGGAAGCTGTACGAGGCAGAGAGAATAATCGAGTGGCGGAAAACCAAACATGTGAGTCGATTTTTCATGTCAATCCTGAAAGTTGATCCATTTGTGTAGCTAACGAAGCAAAATGGCGGGCACCCACTCCCCCTCACAGGTAAAACGGCCAGCCCCAGGGTAGCTTAATACACCGGAATTTAGTATCAGCATATAAAACAAGTCCCATCATGCTTTATCAAGTTTGCCGGATAGTCTCGTCAACAAACTGCATAGTGACTGGTGAAAAAAGGATTCAGGTTTATTGATTTGACTTAATTAAAAACTTATTGAAGAAATAAATTCAGCTAGAAGACTAAACCACTACATATTACCGTAGTTTATAATATATTTACGTTACATGAACTCTGTTTTAATTTCTTGTGTTTAATTTGCCTAATCTTATTCCTTTTCGAGTTATTTTGAGTTTTCCTTGCAGTCAATTCTTTCATCTAGACTTGGGGATGGCCATGTATTTGTGTGACGGCTATCGGGTGTCGCTGAACACTTGGTTTTACTTGTTAATAATATACATGAAAACATTTCTCGAATGTGATTGGCTAAAAGAAATGAAGTTTAGGTAACACGGTGTAGAATAAAGGTAATTGAGTGCAGACTAAAAATGTAATTTAGTGCAGAAAAGAGTAACAAACGTGACACTGTGATTGGCTAATAAACAAAGGAACTCACAGAGTGCCAATCAAATGCGCCATCTAAATGGCGCAAAATTTGGATCCGCTCCGGACTAATTTCGAGCAAAAACTGCAATGGTTGGCGTTTGCAGCACATTTGCTTTTGGGGCTGAAACAACTGTAGAGGAGCTGAAAAACTGCTCTAAAAACGAAAACACTGCGAAAAGCACTGGTTTTTGGCTCTCAGTTTGGAAGAATTGGTGCGCAGACAAAGAAGTTACTGATGAAAAAGAAAATTATGAGGCTGCTGAGCTTAACACTTCACTCGAGCATTTCTACGCCGAAGTAAACAATAAAAAAGGTGAAGATTATGAACCAGAAAGCCTTAAAGTAATGATGGCATCGCTTGATAGACACTTAAAGAACAAAGGCTGCCTCCCATCCATTGTACGTGACCGAGAATTTAGTTCGTCCAAAGAGGTGTTGGAGGACAACGCGAAACAGCTTCGCTTGGCTGGCCATGGTAAGCGCCCAATCAAAGCTCGGCAAGTATCAGAGGAGGAAGAAGAAACTCTCTGGAAGAGAGGAAACTCGGAGGTAATAACCCAGAATCTTTAATTCTTTAATCTGTAGCTTGCAAACTTTAAAAACATCGAGCAAAATGTTGTTTTGACTGCACGTGTGATGATATTTGCAGCATCTGAATAATTCATTTTTGCACGTAGTCTACGCGTGTTGACTCCCTATCAAAGTGATTTTAAAGCTATCTCACAATTTTTTCATGAATATTATTAATAAGCAATCACATGATTTTTCTCGTGCAATTTGGAATAAATAAGCACTCGTAAATTTTTTCAAAGACCACAAATTGCACAACCCCTACGGGCTCGTGCAATTTTGTTAACCTTTGAAAAAATTTACTCGTGCTTATTCATTCCAAATTGCACTCGAAATGCGTTGATTACCTGCACAAATTTGTCTTCTCCTGCTGTGGTACCAAAGCCAGCTTTGGGCTATTTGGTGATAATTAAACTCTTTTTGGCATAATGTTCTCCTTGTCTTTCATAAGCGCTTTTTTCACAGGGATTTGAGACTTTTTTACAGTAGTTTAATTTAGGACTGAAACCAACACAAAATTTATCACAAATTGCTGGACATGCATGTAAGGAGGGACTAGTTGCCGGTATTCCTGGGAAACCAAGTGGACCCGGTAGTCCAGGGGGTCCTGCAGCTCCCTGATCGCCTTGATCCCTGGTGCTATCTAGGTGGACGCGGTCAGCAGTGCTTGGTCCACGGTTTCACTTCAAGTCGTTCTCCAGTTCCATCAGGAGTGCCTCAGGGCAGTATCCTCGGTCCCCTGCTGTTTTTAGTTTATGTGAACGATCTCCCGCCGGTGATACAGAATCGTATCGCACTCTCCGCTGATGACTCAAAATGTTCCAGTATCATTAAGAGTCTACAAGATTGTGGGTCACTCCAAAAGGACCTGGACAGTCTGCATAGCTGGAGCGATAATTGGCACCTAAAGTTAACACCTCGAAATGTGAGGAACTAACCGTCACACGTAAGCGCCACCCATTTGGCTCAGATTACAAGTTCAACAACAACTCACTTGAACACGTCACTCAGGTTAAAGACCTCGGGGAGACTATCTCGCCGGACCTCACATGTGATACTCACATTAACACCATCTTAGCTAAGACCAATAGGATGCTGGCATTTTTACGCCGCAATAGTGTTATGTCCACTACAGACCATAGGAAATTACTATATCTCACGTTTGTAAGATCATGTGTTGGCCATACTAGCGAGTCATGGGCTCCCAGTACGATATGTAGTGTAATAAAAATAGAGTCTTCAATGCAGGGCAAAAAAATTCATCTTAAAAACGCACTGGCAAAGGGATATTTCTTATCATGAGCGCTTTTCTCGCCTGAATCTCCTACCGTTAACATACTGGCATGAAGTGAAAGACTTAATTTTTTATTTCAAGTGTCGCCATGGCCACTACACGTTACGCATAGATGATTACGTCAAGCCTAAAGGCACTCGTCTCACTCGCCAAAGCTCTGATCAAGACGTACTAATTCCCAAGTGCTGCACAAAGCTCTTTCAATTTAGTTACTTTAACCGTATTGCTAAACTCTGAAATACGTTACCTGAATCCACTCGTACTCTCACTTGTCTTAATCGGTTTAAATCTCACGCACTTCAACGCTATTCGGCTACTTTTCGTACAAACTATGACGTCACTCACTATAACACCTGGAAGTCGATCTGCTGCAAATGCAGTAGGTCACGAATCTTCTACTAGCTGGCAACTGCTGCTACTGAGACTTTTTCTCGACTGCGGGAGTGATTCATTCTCATCGTTTTTGGAAATAGGATTTTTATACTTCTTATAATGTTTAAGAGCGACGGTCAGGAAATATCGACCATCGAGTGGCAAGAGTTGAAAAATCGATTTCCTTCATTGTTTGTTCATAAATAGCTTTTAGGTAGATAAATAATCTGATGTAAGTTGTTCTCGCTAAAAGCCTTTTATTTTCGAGAAAAGTAAGAATATCAGTTTTCGTGGTCGGAGTCTCAAAATGGCCGTATTTTCAACCCGAAATTTGCTAAGATCAACTCTCCTAGCGTTCGCAAAAAAAGCCGCAGGGAGACATTTAGACACTTTCCATCAATAGAACAACTCTTCTTCTTTCATTGGAAGATACTTTCAAAGCAATATCGAAACTTGTTGAACTGACATAATTCAAAAACGAAGAACAGGTTTTTACGGTGACAAGAACCTTAATTTAGTAGTTGTTTTCTGCGGCATTATTCTTCAAGTGGTATGGCTCCAAATTTTCCCAGTTCTCGTATATTCACACATTTAGACATTCATCTAAAACATACCTGAGAATTGGCTTGGGTTCCTGAAGGAAACCTCCAAACGAAAGCATCGAAGTCCGGTATACATAGTGAAGCGTGACCAAAACAACTTATTTAACGGTTACAAGGTTCTTCGATCGTAAAGTATTAAACACAAATCCTTAGAAATAAATAGTACTATACAAAAAACGGGCTTCTTCAAATGGTAACAGGATTTTGAAAATAGATTCAAAAGTAAGACCACCAATTGTTCTCTCCAAAGAATGTTCTACACTGAACGGGTTGTCTTATGAACAACTGCTTTAGATGCTTTCGTTTCAAGGTTCCCTACTCCTTCAATTCGAGAGATGGGTTCATCGACCCTCACTTATGGCGGGAGCTAAGGCAAGGCAGGAAACGGCGATAGCAGCGAAAACGTGACACTTAAAAAATGAATTTGCGCCGTTTTAAAGTTCATCGTGTGCAGTCACTTCATCTCATTCAACTTGCTAAATGCATGAGTGAATTTTTTTTGGAGAGAAAACTCCAAATTTTGAATCCAAGTTTAGGTCAGTTCAAAACAAGATAAAGAAAATCGTCTTCTTGTTTTACTGTCCTCCATTGTTCACGTAAACGGAGGAAATTTTTTGTCGTAGTCGACGCATTGACGGCTAGGAAATTTATCGAAAAGTGAAACAAACGGGTAGAGCGTTTAAAAAACTCTATTGCCCGCATCGACACGGTCGTTCCATATTATGGAACTCTTATAGGAAAAGTTCTCTTGTCACCCTTAAGTCCCTCTGGGTCAGAGTAACCGTAACACCATGCATCTTGCCGTTAGTGATTCAAGTCCTCGACACCAACTGTCGATGATCAATATAGATTAGCCTAGTCGAGAATCGGCTTTGTTCCACTAACAACTTGACGATTGTTCGCGATACTAAGGCCTCCATTTCGTCCCATGTAAGCGAATCCAAGACAGTCTTGGATTCTAGATTACACGTCGTGGATTCCTGATTCCAGTCCTTTTCAGTAGAACATGGATTCTGGATTTCAATCTTTAACAGGATTCTGAATTTCCTGAGCTGTATTCTGGATTCCACAAGCAAAAATTTTCCCCGGGATTCTGCATTCCATGAACAAAAATTTTCCGGATTCTTTTACATGGTGGGACTCTATAGGTAAGACTTAGGGCCTCATTAACTAGAACACTTTCGATTTCAAAATGCTCTGTCTCACTCAAAATAATGATTAAGAGGCAAGCAAGGAGGAAGGAGTGAAAAAGGGTAATACCCCTATGGAATGTGATTTGAAAGGTCTTTTTAAAATCACAGTTGAGGAAACGAAGTTGAAAGAAAAATATACCGTTTCTTCTATTTGGAAAAAGTCTTTTCGGCATCTATATTATCAGTTCCAGTTTCGGTTTTTTTTCGGTTTCGTTTAAAGACTCTCTGATTTAAACCGCGAAATGAGAACTCTTTTTAAACAGTTTTAAATTACTCGTTTCATTGATTATTCAATGCTCGAAGGACTCTGGCGTAATTTGCAGTCATGCTAAGCCAGGATTATCCTCATAAATTCTATGAAAGGACTGATTCAGGAGCAGGCTCGTGACCGATTATTTTAAAGTCTGAAAAGTAATTCGTCTCTTCCCCAGGGCCCTGGGACGAGGTTGTGCAGAATGCAGCTTTGAATCGGCTAAAGACTATTAAACTGCCTCGATTTCTAAATAATCAGAAGTCTGAAACACTGTTTCAGACAGCCGATTATTTAGAAATCGAGGAAGTTAGTCGTTAGACCATTCAAATCTGCATTCTGCATAAGATGACAGAAATTTTAACTAGCCTAGTGACTGTGTTAATTAACTACTCATTACGGATACTAGAATGATGAAATGAATCTGATATTGACAACCACTAATTCACATAAATACCAAAACGTTTCCGGAAAATCCGGTCGGAAAGTAAATTGAAAACGACTTTTTGGGTCATTCCCAGGAGCAAAGGAATATCTGAAAAAGTAATGCTGTTTTTCTGGACGGTAATTCGTGTTCTATTGAAAAAGTCGTATTTGATACCATGCCGGTTTCAGGCTTTCGCAGCCGTTTGCCCTTAGATGGAACTGGTTTGTGCAAATGGTAAACACTATGATGGGCGGAAGGAAATTTACCTTGTCTGAAATTTGATTACTATTTTTAAACCGAGAAGTGAGCGGTTTGCCACTAGAAACTTGAAGATGTAACTGTATCCGGTCAATTTAACAAAGCTGTCCAATTTAACAAAAGCTGTCATATGAAGACATTTCATTTCGTAGGAAGACATATGAAGACTATGCTATGTTTTATAAGTGGTTTTGAACTACATTCTCGTTGGGTGCCCCTGAACAAATAGCCAATGTTTACCCATATTTATATTTTCATGTCACAGCAGTTGAGCATTCCTCAAATATAAAATATTTTGGAAAATAACATTATCTGATCATTTACATAAATAAACTTTATCCAAGGGTTGGAAAATTATTATATAGCTGATTCAATGAAGGCTGCCTTGGGCATTCGGAATTGCTCACTAGGACGCTATTGTTTGATAGTCACTCAAGAAAATCATTCCAGGGGAGTTCCATATCTCCAAATGCCAAATGCCCAATTACCAATGACCAAAATCACCGAAGCAACCTTCTTTTCTTTAAGCTGTATATGAGGAGCTGGACGGATGAATTTAATGCAAATTTCGGTGGTCAGTAGTCTGGTTCTCACTTGCGCTCTGAGCTAGTGGACGTGCGCTTTGAGCGAGTAGGTCGAGTTTTGGTTGAAATTTGCTTCTAATTATCTCTGGAAAAGCAAACAACTCAAAAGTTAAAGCACTTCAACATCAGAATGATTCAATGATGAAAGAACTTCAAATTTTGCGCAACGAATTCACCCGACTTCAAGCGTCTTTAAGATCATACGAAGCTGAAGCAAGCAAACATGGCGGCCAAAGTCAACCTGGACCAGATCCCGAAACTACCAAGACGTTACAGTGCGTTAGTGATGAGTACGACGACTTGATGGCAGATTTGGCATTCAATCGACCCCGATGACTTGAACGCCCACGCGTCGTTTCCTTACGCAAGATAGGCCCCCGGATGATTTAAAAACTAATTTTGAAGGGAGAGGGGTGAAGGGTTACAGACCATTGGTATATACAAGCGGTTTAGAGTGTCTGCGACGCAAGCTAGTGGGGAGGCAATCAAGGAACGTTTGGGTAAAGGTGCGCTACTGAGGTCATCAAATCCGCATTCCGTTTAAGACCCTATTTTATGACCCTGACTTGTTTCGTTTTGCATTTCGATAAGGGAAATTTTTAACATTTGTACAGCCAACCTGACAAACTTAACTCTTTCCTGTCAAAAAAAGACACCCACCTTGTTCTGCGGCACAGACCCGTCTCGGCCAAAAAAGAGCCCCTCACCTCATTTCCATAGGGGCGTTCACAGAGCCTCACTTATGGCGGGAGCTAAGACAACCAGGAAACGGCGACAGCAGCGAGGACGTGACACTTAAAGAGGGGGGCGTAAGGGGGGTCCGAAAACCGCAAAACCGCACAGAAATACGCCAAAAAACCGCAAACCGCATCTGATTTTTTCCCGAATACCGAAACTGCACGTACATGTAGGCCTCTATTTCGCCCCATATAAGCGAATCCAAGACTGTCTTGGATTCTAGATTGCACGTCGTGGATTCCTGATTCCGGTCTTTTTCAGTGGAACATGGATTGTGGATTTCAATCTTTAACAGGATTCTGTATTCCTTGAGCTGTACTCCGGATTCCACAAGCAAAAATTTTCCCCCGGATTCTGCATTCCACGAACAAAAATTTTCCGGATTCTAAGTAAAATACTTTTGATTTCAAAATGTTCTCACTGTCTCACTCAAAATAATGATTAAGAGGCAAGCATGGAGGAAGGAGTGAAAAAGGGTAATACCCCTATGGAATGTGATTTGAAAGGTCTTTTTAAAATCACAGTTGAGGAAACAAAGTCGAAAGAAAAATATACCGTTTCTTCTATTTGGAAAAAATCTTTTCGGCGTCTATATTATCAGTTTCAGTTCAACTGGTTCTCTTTCGGCTTCGTTTAAAAACTCTCTGATTTAAACCGCCAAATGAGAACTCTTTTGAGGGCCACAAGTTGATCAGTAATGTTCAGTTACTGTTACATGTCACCCTCATAAAACAAAGTCTCTTACTTACTTACTCAACAGTTTTAAAGTACTTGTTTCATTGATTATTCAATGCTCGAAGGACTCTGACGTGATTTCCAGTCAAACTAAGCCAGGATTATCCTCATAAATTCTGTGAGTTCTACATTCTAAATTCTACATGTGATACGAAAGCTTAATTCAAAAATTGTTTTATTATTCATTTAAAATAATTCCTAGTTTCAAAACATGGCTAAAACATGTTCTCCTTTATCGATCCATCGATGTTAAGTTTATCTTCGATAGTACAGTGCACGTTTAGGGTTGTTCAGCTCCGCAAATATTCTTTAAATAGATCGCCCTTCGAGTTGACCTCTTGCCGTTCTTGCCATGTTTTTAGCTATTCTTTCGCCTTGTTCTTACTCTTGAAACGAGTGAAATGTCCGCCCGAGTTTCTA